CCCGGTTCATTTGTGTCCAAAGCAGGGGGGTGTGTGAGTGTGTAAGAGAGAGTGTGTGTTTGTGAGTGTGTGTGGAGGGAGAGAAAGAGAGGGGGCTTTGAATAGGAACCGCCTCCCTCCCTCACTGATGTTGAAAAAGCGCCACTGGTGCCTGCTATACTACACACGTACACACCGACACACATATGGGTAGTTGACGCATATCATCTTCTCCAGGGTTAACATTAATATGTATAAGGAAAGTTAGGTTCTGTAACTGCTTACCATTTCAAAAATTAAGTTGTGGCTTTTAGTCTATGTCTTTTAGGCCAACTGTGTTATTTTAATTCTAAAAGCTGGCAAAATTATCTTTCAGCAGACTTCTCTCTCAGTGGAACAAATCAAATGTAGTGATGCTATCATCTTGCACTTCAAATTTTTTTTTAATTAATTAATTTATTACATTTTTGTGTCCAATCACATCTCTGCAATAAGAATGTGGTGGAATCTTACTGGCTATTTAAGTAAATAAACAATGACAGTCCTTTTGACACGTCTGGCCCAAACCTCTGTTTTGACTAGGAAATATGTACAGTGGTGTGAAAAAGTGTTGGCCCCCTTCCTGATTTCTTATTTTTTTGCATGTTTGTCACACTTTAATGTTTCAGATCATCAAACAAATTTTAATATTACACAAAGATAATGCAAGTAAATACAAAATGCAGTTTTTAAATTATGATTTCATTTATTAAGGGAAAAAAGCTGTCCAAACCTATGTGGCCCTACGTGAAAAATTAATTGCCCCCTCCTGTTAAATCATGCAATTAACCACATTATTTTAGAAAGCGGAGTTAAATTTCACTAGCCACACCCAGACCTGATTACTGCCAGACCTGTTGAATCATCTCGATCCTATGCATTTCACATAATATATAAATACAGACAAATACATTTAGACCACTTAACTTAATAATTGCTATCGGGATGTGAAGAGACTTTTAACCAGCATAACAAAAAATGTTTTTGAAGACAATCACCTATTGCACCTTTAAGGCTTTTGAGGAAAACATTCCAGGATTTTTCTCCATATAATGGACTTTAATGGTGGCCATTAATGCAGTTTCAAAGGGCTCTACGCGATCCCAGCCGAGGAATAAGGGTCTTATCTAGTGAAACGATCAGTCATTTTCTAAAAAAATTTAAATGTATAAACTTTTTAACCACAAAAGCGCATCTCACACTGGAAAGGTCACGCGTGGTTAGCTCTTTGTCTGTGTACTCCGGTTCAAAAAGGTAGGGTAGGGTTTTTTTGTAAAGGGCATTTGACTTTCTTTGCACGTTCACTTTGTAAACACTGGGTCTGTACTTCAGCCTACGTCACACGTGATCTTTCCAACATGACTACGTAATGCGTGAAGTCGAGCTAGTGCAAGACGAGCATTAGTGGATAAAAATAATTAATTTTTTTTAAGAAAACGACAGATCGTTTCTCTAGGTAAGACCCCTATACTTCAGCTTTCTTTACGACTGAAGAAAGAAAGACATGAACATCTTGGATGACATGGGGGTGAGTAAATTATCAGGAAATTTTTATTCTGGAAGTTAACTAATCCTTTAATACGAGCATCTCTGTAATTTTTCCATATAATTATAATTTTGTTAGTTTTATAATTTTGTTTGTGCGTGTGTGTTGCAAGTTACACTTACATTTATGTATTAAACTGATTTATATTCCCTGGGAATCAAACCTATGACCTTGGTGTTGCTAGCACCATGCAAAGAAATACCTTTTAAAATAGTTTTAGATGGAACATAGCACGTTGAACAGGACATGTCAACTTATCAAAAGTATTTCATGTGAATTACCCATATACATACACACACATACTCACACAGACACTACAAGAGATCAAGAGAGTGCTGATGAGAATAAAAGAGCATGCAACGGGTGAGGTGCAGATATGGAAATAAGAGAGGATGAGAGAGAGAGAGAGCTGAATGGTGGTGGGGAGCAGAGAGGAAGAGAGGGATGGAAAGACAAGAGAAATGAAGGATGAGCACAGTTAGCCCAGTTGTCAATAAAGTATGGGAATCAATAATAATGAACGATTATGGTTCAGATTCGATTCCATGAATGATTATTTTAGTCAGGTAGAGAAAGTACTCTACATGCAAGTAAGAAAAAAAAAAGATTAAAGTCATGATGTGCAGCTCAGTTATTAGGTGAATAACCACTTCAACTGATTTAGTGAGTCTGGTTTGAACCAGTGAGAACTGGTTCAAAACGATAACTCATGAGTTTGAGACTGATTAATGAGGAAGCAATTCATGTGTTGACAAATCAGAGAGTACTGGTTGTGTTGCATGTTTGTTGTTGTTGCATGCAGCAAGCGAGGATAATGCCATAGAAAAGCAGGAAAAAGATTTAAGACACACTTACAGAACCGAACATCACAAATATCATTTGTTTGACCCAATCCGAATCAGTTCTTGAGTTCCAGGTGTAAAAGTTAAAGCATAAACCTAAAAGGTCACTGGAGGGGACTTTACAGCACACTGGTTTAACTGTCAACCTCTATTGCCATGTACGCATGGTAATCTACAAAAAAACTGCTGAAAACTGATTATGAGCGCGAGAGAGGAAAGAGGGATGAAAAGATAGTAAGATCAAAGGACGACGAGGGCTGCAAGGTTTCGGCAAGGTACACTGCTCCTGGCTGATAGCCGTCCATCTGGACCCGATGCCCCGCTGTTATCATTTGAAACGTCCATGTGGCTTAAACCATCAGCTCTATCATAACTGTCATAACAGCTATGACGGAGTGGGTGTCATAACGGTCAACTGTCATTTATGCTAATGGACAGTTTAGCAGGACAGAAATACATCTAAGAAGAAATCATTTTCATTCTACAGTGCTATGTGCATATGTAAATATGAAGACAGAGAATGTCTAGAGAAATTTCTTCACCACAATACATTTGTGACAGTATAAAACCCTAAGGGTCCTACAAGCCAGCACACTATATTCCAAGTCTTCTGAAGCCATACGATAGCTTTGCATGTTTGTGTGTGTTTATAGTAATATAAATCTTTTTAAGTGACGGCCTTTTGTGTCTCAGTGCTGCCGTATACTGCAGAAGCAGCCATCACTGAGGACAGCTCTAAAAATAGAGACGACTTTTCACAAGAACACCTGACAAGACTCCCTCTCTCACTCTTTTCCACTCTCTAACACACACGATCACACTTTCCGTCTCTCAATCGCTTTGCTTCACTCCTCACTGAATCTAATTACGGCTGAACAAGTATCAGCTCAGCGGCAGCAAGGTCTACCCATCAGCAGTCCCCATCAGGCCTAGGGCGTCAAATAACACGCTAAACAGACGCATATAAACACATTAGCACACAGATATCTTACATGCACCCTTGTTTGTGTGAAAAGGGCTGAGCCTTTGTAGTGCAGCACAATTAAGCCTAGCTATGAAATCATAAATTGTTATTGTTGTTCTTAGCTAGTGCAACTCGGTTCTGACAGGGTCATAGGGAAAACAAATGGGACAAACAAGGCAAGCAACAAAATACGACTGAACAATTTAATTGTGCATAGCAAAGTAAATAGGAGAAAATGCTTTGAATCAAATGATTCAAACAAATCTTTGGTTACTGATATCATTAAATGCTTTTAAATGAACTTTTTGGTATTTCTGTGAAAATACGACTAATTAAGTAAAATGGTAAAATAGAAATAAGGCTAAAATTAATACATTATTTGGCAGAATGTTTGTTTGAACAGTTTGGATGGTACTTCACACTTCTGTTGTTGTTTATGCTTTTACAAAACAGTTTCCTATTCAGCCTATGTCATGTTATTATTTTGCACATTCTTGGGTGTATTTTTAATAAATATATTTATATACATTTTTTTATTTATTATATTTTATATTTACATTGAAAATAATTTTACATTAATTACAGGATTTTTCCCCCCAAAATATCAAACTGAATTAACATTCTGGGTCGCCGCTTAATGTACATAATGTACATTCTGGGTTCTGAAGCAAAACTAGTTGAGAACCACAAGATATAATCGGTTGGTTGAAGAACAGTTACCCTTAACCAGTACATAACTCACCCTGCACCAATTGTGCTACATGAAATGACACTCAAATTGTTCAGCTTGTTGGGGAACAGCATAGTATTACATGCTTAAATGATCAAAATTATGATTTTTTTACTAGTCAGGCAAACAAAACAAAACAAAATTTTATTCTCATTTATTTTACTTTTATATTTATATTATAAAGAATTTTACAATAACCAAACTAACTTTTTTTTTTAATAACAAAAATCTAATTTAGTTGTAAATTATACATCAAAATACATTGTACTTGATGTCCAATGTATAAATTGGGTTCTGAAGCAAAACTAAGTGAGAACCATGGACATAAGCAGTTGGTTGTGGAACAATTACCAGTTCATAACTCATCCTGCACCAAAAAAAAAATTCCAAATATATTTCCACAAAACCAAACCTTGAATTTGAGGGAGGGACCCAAGCCACATCTAGAGACTAGAGCATCATAGAGACTCATTTGACATGGTCCAGTTAGCAACCACCTAGCAACAACCCTGAACACCCTAGCAAATGCATAACATAGCAAAGCAACACCTCAGTAACCCTATCAGCAAATTCTCCACCAACAAGAGCCACTCACACATTCTTTAAAAAATATATATATTTTAATCTAGTTTGTCTGACTAGTTATGAGGCAATAATCTCAGTGTGTAACCTGAAGGCTTGCAGTATAGCATCAACCACTTTAAAGCGCTGTTGGACCAAACATTCATTTGGCAACATAAATACACACATCCACACAAATAAGCCATTTTGTTACGGTCACAGGGTCATAAACTCTTATCGCACACACATATATAACCTACACACACATACAGTATATAATCACAGCTGAGCAGGAAATGACACACACAAAGGAACAGAAACAGTGAATAAGTACGATACCTGAGCCTTAACGCATTCCTGTGGAGGAGCCAGAATGAGGAGAGAAGCAGAGAAGAGGAGAGTTATTATCAGCCTGGGTTACTGAAGAGCAGAGCAGGCTCAGAGAAACCCTGTTAAGCACTTTGCAAGTCATACTACGGGAAGAAGAGAGGGACACATCCTTTATAAAAGCTCAGATGCTATCAAAAAACAACAGAGGGTAGTGCACACACACACACATACAGTGCACACACAGCTGAGAAACATGAGGCGGATGCTGAAATAAAAAGCCACAAAGCTAACATATAAGGGAACTCGGACACTTCAGGTGAACGAAAAAGTGGCTAATTATGCAACCAAAGGGAGGTCATTTAGTTATTGAAATGGAACGCAATGATCAGCAAACTAAGAGATGTAAAAGAAGGAAAAGGCTGGCATTCATTGACTTGACGAGGTCTCATGATAATTAAAGACCAGCTGCCCCACAGTACCCGGAGAGGAAGGGAAAAAGACAGAATTATAGAGACAAAATGGTACCCAGTGTAACCCAACAAGAAGGCAGTCACTGTTCGCTGGTCTTAAAGTCACTGTTGACAAAAAAAAAATAATAATAATTTAAAGATTCCATGAAATGACTTGACAAGAGCAGTTTTCTTTCCTATTGAAAGAGGAAATTTGGGCAGGACATACTGAAAGGCTTTAAAAATAAATAAATAAATGAAAATAATCTTTAGTTTACATCATAGTCTTGAACCAACTTTTAGTACTTGCTACACTAGATGAAAACAGAAAAAGACTATAAATTCTAAACGATTAATATACAGATGATCTCAAAGCTATGAACTAAAACTGCAATTTTAACTTCATGGGGTGTTTACAGCACAATTGTAAGTGTGATATGAGTGCAAATTCAACAAATCCCCTCATTGTTTTTGATAACTTGTGATTTTCAGCCAAAAATGTACATAATGGCTTAATTACTGATGGGTTTTCACTGCAAAACACAGCAAAATATGCCACAAATAGTACTAAAAACTGAGCAAAAATTTATGAAATAAAATAAAATTAACCAACCCCACTGCCTCTTTTTCACGCAATCATTCTCTATCATCAAATTATGAAAAAGTTAAATTCAAAAATAAAATAAAATAAAATGATTAAGTAATTTCATGCAGCAATAATTAGAAAAAAAAGGTTAGGAATGTATAAGAGTGAAAAATATCCTAACATTCTGTTTTGATGTGGGATGGACTGTGTAATATCCAAAAATGTTGTTTAAGGGTGCTTTTACACTTGGTTCGATTGCCTGGTCCGAACCAGAGTGTGATTGCTCCCCCTCCCCCTGCTGGACTGTGTTCGTATTATTTTATTTGGGTCCGAACCGCGGTTCGTTTGAGTCATCAAACCAGCAGCTGTTTACCCCGTTGCTTAGTAACGACGGCGCAGGAGAAGACAGCAAAATGCGTAACATTGCTCTCTTCACTTTTAGATTTATGCTTTTGAACCGTTGGTTTTGTTTACAAAGCTTCGGTACATAACGACACTTACGGCTGTCATACGAATGTACTGCAAATGCTCTAAACTAAAGAACGCTGAAGGCAAACAGAAATGAGACATACAGCTCTCTGTTTGCAGCGCGTCAGTCACACTCGTCAGGAAAGTGAGTGAAACACACACACACACACATTTTTATCAAATAATACGTCATTAATAGCAGTTCACTTCCGCAATTTGGGTATGACTGCTTTAGCATCAGAAGTGAACCTTACTGGAGTTCACTTGAGCCATACCCCAGACCACCCCTTTTAAGCGAACTCGGGTACGGTTCACTGGTGCACACCCGAGTTCGGAAGACAGCGTTCACATCATCCAAACGTACCGAACTCTGACGTCAGTCGAACCCGGGTGCGCACCAAAAGTGCTATAGTGTGAAAGCACCCTAAATGAGTGCAGAAGGAGTGTTGCGTGTCCACTAACATCACTTGAGATGAATGAACTGTACCTCATTATTTGTCTCCAATCTGTTTTCAATCATTGCGCATCTACAAGATGCCTCCAAATACAGTATGACAAATCTGAATCACATCTAGGGCAGAGATGCTTACAGACTCAGTCGAGTTCAGTTGTGTGAGGCAGGTAGCGCAGAGTACAATTAGTTCACTCTTGTGCCAGAAATTGAATCAAATTAATGCCAGTCAGCAAGTCTCTATAAGCTTATGTGAGATACTCAAAGCTGATCCATGATGTAATGTTTGTGAAGTGAATTTTCACCTTCGGCTATGTCTGAGTATGGAAATCCCACTGTGGAAGCACTCTCAAAAACTCACGGATTAGCTGGAATGCCCGTCAGCTTAACATCCAATGCGCTGCGGTCCCTCTTAAAGACGCTACTGTGAACTTTCTTAGCCAGCTACCACTGATCTGAAAGCAAAAACATGGTCCAAATCGCTACCCACAGACCTTAACAACAAAAAGGGAGCTGTTTGGGAAAACTGTGCAGCTGAGAATATACAATGGTGGGAATCATTTCGATGTCCCGTTCTAATGTATCTCGAGGGAAAAACTATTTAGCTCAATGATGCTTGACGTATGTCGTTGGACTAAACAAAACAAGAATTTCCAAACAAGCTGAGGGAACACTGGCTTCTCTCCCGGGGGAATGGGAGGAATGCTGGGAATGAACTGCAGTAGATTTGGGGGAGAAAAATCAGGAATGTGTCTACGTGAGGGTCTAGCTTTGAACTTCCATGAAACATCTGTATCAAAAATTCACAAGATTAACACCCAAGATATTATGAAAGCACAGTTTCGCTGTCAAATCTGCTGGAAATTTAGTGGAATAAAATACAACCCTGTTTTTCGTTCTCTCAAGGTGCAGAAAGAAAGGCATATGAAAAAAGGCCTTACAACCTGCGTTCACCATTATTTGAATTACCACAAAATCAAAACTGACCTGAATAAATTTCTGTTTGTCTTTGTATTAAATGAATTAAATAAAAATAAACAACAAATATAAAAATAAAAAATAATATTAAATAAAATGTATGTGTTAGTAATGTCATCAAAAATCATCATAAAAATAAATAAATAAACAAAATAAAAAATATAAAAATAATAAATATAAAAGAAAATGTAGGCACACTTATCCCACGAGACGAGACACGAGACTGGGTTCACGAGACGAGATTTTTAGAATTTTTGGTTACACTTTACTTGAAGGGGTGTGCATAATCATGACATGACACCTTCATAATCATGACATGACACGTCATGCATATGAAGGTTTTTTTATGCATGTTTATGACAACTGTCATTAAGTGTCATTCGCTCAGTTATGTAATTTTTTATGCAATGACGACATTGTTTGAGATGTCTTTGTTATGGGCTATGGTTAGGGGTAAGGGTAGGGGTAGGGTTAGGTCAAATAATGTCATATTTGCATTAAAAATGACATAACTGAGCGAATGACACTTAATGACAGTTGTCATAAACATGCATAAAACCTCCTTCATATTCATGACATGTGTCATGTCATGATTATGAAGGTGGCCAGCTACCACTGATCTGAAAGCAAAAACATGGTCCAAATCGCTACCCACAGACCTTAACAACAAAAAGGGAGCTGTTTGGGAAAACTGTGCAGCTGAGAATATACAATGGTGGGAATCATTTCGATGTCCCGTTCTAATGTATCTCGAGGGAAAAACTATTTAGCTCAATGATGCTTGACGTATGTCGTTGGACTAAACAAAACAAGAATTTCCAAACAAGCTGAGGGAACACTGGCTTCTCTCCCGGGGGAATGGGAGGAATGCTGGGAATGAACTGCAGTAGATTTGGGGGAGAAAAATCAGGAATGTGTCTACGTGAGGGTCTAGCTTTGAACTTCCATGAAACATCTGTATCAAAAATTCACAAGATTAACACCCAAGATATTATGAAAGCACAGTTTCGCTGTCAAATCTGCTGGAAATTTAGTGGAATAAAATACAACCCTGTTTTTCGTTCTCTCAAGGTGCAGAAAGAAAGGCATATGAAAAAAGGCCTTACAACCTGCGTTCACCATTATTTGAATTACCACAAAATCAAAACTGACCTGAATAAATTTCTGTTTGTCTTTGTATTAAATGAATTAAATAAAAATAAACAACAAATATAAAAATAAAAAATAATATTAAATAAAATGTATGTGTTAGTAATGTCATCAAAAATCATCATAAAAATAAATAAATAAACAAAATAAAAAATATAAAAATAATAAATATAAAAGAAAATGTAGGCACACTTATCCCACGAGACGAGACACGAGACTGGGTTCACGAGACGAGATTTTTAGAATTTTTGGTTACACTTTACTTGAAGGGGTGTGCATAATCATGACATGACACCTTCATAATCATGACATGACACGTCATGCATATGAAGGTTTTTTTATGCATGTTTATGACAACTGTCATTAAGTGTCATTCGCTCAGTTATGTAATTTTTTATGCAATGACGACATTGTTTGAGATGTCTTTGTTATGGGCTATGGTTAGGGGTAAGGGTAGGGGTAGGGTTAGGTCAAATAATGTCATATTTGCATTAAAAATGACATAACTGAGCGAATGACACTTAATGACAGTTGTCATAAACATGCATAAAACCTCCTTCATATTCATGACATGTGTCATGTGCAATATGCATTCAGAGACGATATGAAAAGAACATATTATCTAAGTGTTACCGAATTTTTTAAAGAAATCCTCAATGATGAAATATATAGGGAAAAATAGTATTTTATTCTTATTAATTAAAATCATGAAACTTATACATTTTCACATCAATTTATTAAAAGTTTAACAAAAATTACAAGGTTAGGGCCCTATGAAATGTTTTATTTTTTCTCACCATATTATTTGTATCTTGTATTGTTACGAAATTCTGTGTTTTAGCATGTCTAATTATTTGAATGCATAAAACAACTTAATTTATAAATTTTAGAAATTCTCAGAAATTCTGTGTTGTATATTTTCATTTTTTCTGGTTATCAAATGAAG